ACCCTCTGTCCCCTTTCATTTAATCCTCTTCCTTCCAATGTCGTAACTTTACCTATTCCCAATCATTACACCACCTCCTAAAACTGCCTTTCAAAACTTTCCATCCTCCCGCTGCCTTGAACCTCAGACTTCCTTTCAAAAATTCTGTGGTCTCATTAAGAACTTGAATCTGTTAAGCTACAACTGTTTCAACACTCGTTACCCACTTCATGGCTTCATTTCTCCTCTTCCCTTTTCACTTTTATTGTCTCACCCCTCCCAGTAAAATGTAAGCACCACTAAAGACAAAAGTCTACTCATCTCTAGTGCCCGGAACATAACCAGGCCTGGTACATGGGAAACCACACAGAAAACATGAAATAAATGCATGTGTGTACTCAGGCATTTGGAAAGAATACGGGGATAAAAATAAAGCTTTTGCCCTCCAAAAAGCTTAAACTGCTTGGAAGCAAATGCATGCACACAAACTTCAACTACTTTTCTTTGAACCAACCACCTATTCCTAGCTCACTTAAAAGATAATCTTAGTTCGTCATCCCAGTATCCTGATACCATATTTGTGAAGTCTCTTGCTAGCAAGAAAATCTTTTAGCTTCCCATATATATTTTTAAGTGTACAAGTAATAATCTAAGGCATTGAAAAGTCCTAAAAATAAGTAGCTATTTTAAAAATCTACTTGGTACAGATAATCGGTGAACTAAAACAAATCCTAGAAAGTGACACCGGTGGCCATGTGTGACACAGGACAGTTCACAAGTGTGTTGGGAATTTTCTGTGTCACCATCTCTAAACCAAATGCTAACCCAACTGGCTATACAAGACAGAAAGCTCCTCTATTTGAGACACTTTTGGGAATGTCTCAAATTTATCCTTCTTTATAGCAGAGTAGTACTTGATTATATTTCTTAAAAAGCACATCTTCCTTGTCCATAATGGGCATTTAGGCTGTTTCCAAAATTTAGCTATTACAAATTGTGTTGCTAAAACGTGAGTGTCTGTATGTCGCTGTGGTATGATGCTTTTAATTCTATTGGGAAGATAGCAAGAAGGGAACTAGCTGGGTCAAATGGAACCTCTAGTTTTAGTTTTCTGAGGAATCTCCAGACTGATTTCCACAGTGGTTGCACCAGTCTGCACTCCCACCAACAGTGGAGAAGGGTTCCTTATTCCCCACAGCCCCTCCAGCATTTGTTTTTGGTTGATTTCTTGATGACAGCCATTCTTTCTGGGGTGAGATGGAACCTCAGTTTTGTTTTAATTTCCATCTCTCATATGACCAATGATGTTGAGCATTTTTTCATATATTTATTTGCCATTTCTACTCTGAGAAGTGTCTGTTCATTTCACATGCCCATTTTTGAACTGGATCTTTAAATTTGTGGAGTCTGAATTTTTTAGTTCGTTTTATATTTTAGCTATTAGTCCTTTGTCTGAGGAACAGCTGTCAAAACTGTTTCCCACTCTGTGAGTTGTCTTCACTCTTTTAGTGATTCTTTTGCTATGCAAAAGCTTTTTAATAAGATGAGATCCCAGTTGTTCTTTGTAATATTTCCTGTGTAATCAGGGTTTTGTTCATAAAGCCTTTGCCTATTCTATCTTCCGGCAGGTTTAATGTTTCTGTTTTAATATTTAGATCTTTGATCCATTTCAATTTTAGTTTAGTGCATGGTGAGAAATATGGGTCTAGTTTTAGTCTTTGGCATTATTTTTTGTCCAGTGAAGGTGTTTGGCTCTTTTGTCAAAGATAAAGTGGCTGAGTATGTTTGGAGTTGTGTCTTCATTCTCTGAGCTATTCCATTCATCCTCAAGTCTGTTTCTTTTTTTTGCCAGTATCATGTTGTTTTTATCATGTTAGCTTTGTAGTATAATTTCAAGTTAGGGATTAGGATGCCCCCTGCCTTATTTTTGTTGCCCAAAATTGTCTTTGTTATTGTAGGTCTCCTCTGGTTCCAAATACATTTTAGAATTTATCTTTAAATAAAATAAAATTATTTCATTCTATTTTTATTTATAAATAAAATTTTATTTTTTCTAATTCTGTGAGATATGTACCTTGATACTATACTCTTATATGAAATAAATTGGACGTAGATGTTCAAATATCACACTGTTTCTCTGATGTGAGAAATGGAAAGTGGAAATAAAGACCAAAATGTACAATAGATATGGGAAGGGGAACTAGGGAGAGGGGAGGGGAAAAGAAGGAAGAGAAAAGAAAAATGAGGGGAAAAAAATAGGAACAAAGATTTTGTAAATAGGAGGGAAAGAGGACTTTAAGGGAGGGGACGGGAATGGGGAAGAAAGAAGAATCATGATATATCATATACAGGTACAAATTCCCTGTGATGAATGTGATCATTATGTATATCTAAAATGTACCAATAAACTTAATTAATTTTTAAAAAGACACTCTTGGGGACCGAGGATGTAGCTCATTGGTGGAGGGCTTGCCTAGCACGGGCAAGGCCCTGGGTTTAATGCCCAGCATTAAACAAAACAAAACAAAAACAACAAAACTTGTTTTGCTCTCAGACAAGTGTTGTAATAACCACATAAATCCATTATAAATACAAATGTGAATGGCCCCTTCTGCGGCTCTAGAGTTCTACATTTTTAAAAGTGATTTAACTCATTATTTCCAAAATATGTTTGAGCATGGAAACTTTCTGTTTTTTGTCATATACGTTATATGGAAATAATGTTCTTTGTTACATAACTGGGGAAGTAGTATCATTATAAAGTGGCTAGTATTAGGCCTATGACTTTTATTTCTTCATTTTATATATTTATAATATTCTCTATTTTCTGAGAGTTTCACATAGATTCAGCTGGACTTAGATTTGCAACCAGCTCTGATACTAACTTTGAGTGAGTTACGTGACCTCAGGACCAGTAGTCCCATTTATAAACTACAGATTGCAACAGTACGTCCTTGTAAGATTACTGTAAAGATAGCAAGAGACTTTGTTATGGTCCCTGAGAAGCATATTTGAAGAAGCATAATTTTGAAGAAATAATTGTTTAAAAAAAGTCAACTGGAGTTGGTTGTAAACTCATTTTTATAAAAACAAAAATAGTTTGGAATATTAACCATAATTTGAGCACCTTAGTAGATAACATACAAAACTCAAATCATGTATGACCAGAAGACTCAAGTTTAGCAAGTATAGACTTCATACTGTTGCCACAAATGAATGCATATACTCCTACATGCGTACCTTTAGTACTATATCTCCCTGTCAGGGAGCAAAGCAAGGACAATTGGGAGCAAGTCAGAAGTCTTTGCTCTGCTATTGGACCTAAGAATCCAGCACTGCGGGCACCCACAGCATAGGTTAGTAAGTAGTCACTCAAACCCTCAGTATGTGCAGATGTAATTGCACCAAAGCTAGGCCAGCTCATAAGCCTTTTATCGTGAGTCCAACTGCTCCTAATCCTTGAAACTTTTTACCTACTATGTGTACACAATAGAAACGTGAACTTCTATAAACAGTATACTTCATAATCACTATTAAGTAAATGGGGGAAAAAGACAAACACAACGCCAAGCATATTCCAACAGTACCGACATCCAGTATTTCTTTTCTACATTTAGAATTGGCTTGAGATGGGGGTGGGGCTTGCGACCATACATATTTTTAAAAAGACACAGTTCTTGCAACATTAATTGGGAAAGAGGGACGCGTATTATTTTACTAGAACCTACCGTATCAAAGTACAACAGACCCGATGGTTCAAACAATAGAAATTTACATGCTCACAGTTCTGGAGAAGTCCAAGACCAAGGACTCAGCAGATGCTATTTCTCCTGAGGCCGCTCTCCTAGGCTTGCAGACGGCTGCTTTCTCACTGCGCGCTCCTATGGTCCTTGCTCCGTGCACCTACGCCCGTGTCCTACACCCCTTCTTAGAAAGACATCAGCCCTATTGGAATAGGGCCACACCTACGGACCTCATTTCACCCTAATTATTTCTGTGAAGGCCCTATCTCTAAATACAGTCACCCTCTACGGTACAGGGCTTAAGATTTCAACATATGAACTAAGGAAGTGAGGGTTACGATTCAGACGATAACAAGACCCAATTCACAGAGCAGAAGCAGCAGGCGGTCCTTCTGTGACTGCTGGATGGTGCCCCCGCCGCTAACAAAAGGATGGAGTCTCCCCCTAACCATGGACAGCAACCAACCTTCGTCTAAGTATACTATAAGTGTAAGAACAGACTATGTATTTCATCATCTGCCCGTGCGGCTGCGAGAGAATGGTGACCACAGAATAATTTGTGGCCATTATCTGTAAGTCTCTATAAAAGAAGGTAAGTGCTTACTGTGAAACTGCAGCAGAGGTGTCCATGTTGGGATTCACAGAAGAGATGCATACAGCCGTGTGCGTATCCGTGGTTACCAGCTATCCTCTCACCTTCTAGTGACTCGAAGCTGTACCAGTTGCCCACGTCTGCACTTAGCGCTCTCTTCCTCAAAATAAACCGCTCTCAAAAATGATAGCCCACATAGGTGTTCAAAACAGTGGATTTTGGTTATTCCACTGGACAGCACTAAAGTTATTAGAAAAAATATTTTGATGATCAGAACTTCTTTACATTGATGTAATTAATGCAGAAAATAATGACTGCAAAACAAGTCCATCTTTGCTTAAACATAATCAGGACCAGTTGTAAAGTATTAACTGGTTTGTGTTGCTATGGAAATGGGAAAGATATTTAAGGGGATGCTCACAGCTGAGTGATCACACTTAACCGGCAGTTACCCCTCAAATGATGCCCTAGGTATGCTCGGTGAAAAACATCCTACAGCTCAGCGCTCCTGCTCTGCAACTCCCAGGTGTTCAGACTTTTCAGGCCCTTGCCCATAAAGCAGTTGACAGCAGGGGGAGCTCGTTTGCAAAAATCTGAAGTTCTTTTAAAAACCTTTTAGAGCAGCAGAGCGAATCGCTAGCATCCAATTTGAAACAGTATAAACCATTGTCTGCAAGTAACAAGAGTCCGTTTGAATGAAGAGTTTTATTTAGGCGGGAAAGGACAGCAAAGTAGAGCATTTGTGAAATACAGTTTAATAAAATCTTTGTTTTTAGCGCATGCTTCGTCTCTTGTAAATGCATTTGTCTGATGCCTTCCACTAATGTTTACTGAGAACTGACTGGATATAGGATAACGACGTACAGTACCGGTCCGTGGGCGCGTTAAGAGTAGGGGATCTGAAAACCAAGTGGAAGAATTAGTCACCATATTGATCTCACTCCAAAGTAAAGAACTGACTGTTGCAGCGGACGTTGAGCAAACAGCAAAGACAGCCGGCATTCTCAGCACACGTTCAGAAAGATGATTTTGTAACAACCGAATGTTAATATATAACGATATCTGAGCGATCAACGCCATCCCTTTGGAAGGAAACCCTCCGCGCCTCCACACCCCGCGAAGTGCGGTCGCGAACCTAGTAACAAAGCGCGGTCTTTTCTGGCCCTGCGACCTTCGCGCCGCCACCCTCCTCGCAAACGGCCAGAGTCCAGGAGCTGCACAACGTCCAGGGCTCCGAAGAGACTCTACCCTGAGCCCCTAGTGCGGAAGTGTCCCCGTCGCCGCTGCACATTCGCTTCTCGCTGCATTTTTTAAATTTGCGCTTAAGCCAGAAGGTATCGGAACATCTCGCATTTTCCGAGACCTCCTCTTTCCATTTTCCAGCTAACCTGTTTTCACTAACGATCATGCAATGAGCATTTTTTGAACACCCCAAGTCGCGAGTCATTGGACAGAGCTCTGGCCGTGTCCGGACCTCACGTGGTTTAAAGTCACCCTCTGGAGCCACCCAGAGCGTGTGCCCCGATGCACCCCGTAAAACTTTCGTTTTATTTATTATTTTTTTTAAAAGCAAAAAAGACCCAGCTTCGGCCTACAAGTCCTGGATGGCCAAAGCTGGTCCTTAAGAGAGGCAGCGAGCGTTCCAGAGACCCGCCGGACTCCGGTTTTTCACAATCTCGAAGCTCAAGCGACTCTGGGATCTCGGCGACCGCCGCCCCGCTGTCCCCTCCCGCCACTGGGCGGGGCCCGGCGCCCGCGGAGGGGGAGGGGCCGCCCCGTTGAGCAATCCGCCTATGCAAATGAGCGAGGTTGCACCGGCCAATCGGAAGCCGGATATGCCGTGACGCGCGCGCCCAGCACCCGTAGTATTTATAGATCGTATTTAAAGAGCCCTTGGGAGTCTCCCGGGCCCGGCTGGGCGGCGGCAGCCGGCTGCGCCTAGCGCGGGGCGCGCGCCGGAGGTGGCGGAGCGGTCGCCGCTGCTCCCGGCTCTGTGGGGGTGTTGGGCGTGGGAGAGCACCCGTGCATGTTCCATGGTGGCTTTACCCACTTCCTACCTCGGTTTCTGGAGAGAGGGAGAAAATACTGCTGCTTTGGCAACACTTTTGCTTGAAATAAAGCGAGGGATTTGAAATCTCGAAACAGCCGGGGGCGGAAGGTTTGAACCGACCCCACCCCCGCCCCTCTCCCTTTGAGCGACGGGCCGACGCCGTTTCCTGGTGCGGGCTGTGTGTAGCGGCTGCCTTCCTGGGAGGAGGGGAGAACAATGCCTCCTAGAAAGCCAAAAGTCGTGGAATTTGGGGGCGGGGTTAGTGAGCCACTTAAAACGTGTTCGCGGAAACTAAGTCGACGATAGCCGCGGTGATTCTCTTAGGGTTCAGTCCGCTGGCCTCCAGATTTAGCAGCCACCAGCGAACTGCATGCGTACTGCGGCGAGAAAGCAGGAAACGCATTATGTCAGAAGGGAGAAAGAGACCCAAATTGCGGAGGTTGCATCTGCCGCGCCGGCTGGCTTCCTCGCCTGCGCCATCGCCCCCCGTGCTCTGGCCGGGGGCCTCCCGGAGAGGCGCCGCGGGATTTCAGGCGAAGGGCACCGTGGGCGTCGCCTCGGGGAACTGTTCACCCGGGTGCAAGGAGCCCGGTGTCGCCAGACGTCGCGCTCCTCATCGATCCTGAAAATCACAACTCCTTAAACTGTGCCCCTGCCTCACAGATGTGCAGATTTCCAGGAGTGCTCAGCTGCTGCCCTTAGTGTAGCAGGAGCTCCTGTCAAACCCAGAAGAAACAGGTGGCAAATGGGGAAGATCCCAGCAGAACTCCTTGTCAGGAATCTCATTTGTGGGTATTGAGGAACAGGATCGCCTTGTTCCCTAACGGGCACCTGAATCCTGAGCTCTTGTCACTGCTCTTCAGAACCCTTAAGGACAAATGCAGGAGTTGGGACACTAGCCACACCTGCTTTGCTGCTCCCTTACTCCTAGGTTGGAGGCAGTAGGAGGTAACTTTAGAAATCAGGTCTAGGGTTGTGGCCCACTCCACCCCCTAAAGGTGTGTGCATACGCACACACACACACACACACACACACACACACACACAGCAGTAATAGCTAATGATTGTTGACTATCGTGTGCCATGCAATGTGCCGAGTGCTTTGCCAAACATGATCTCAATTCTCACAATAGCTGGGTGATATGAGTACTCTTGTGCCCATTTTACAGATAAGGAAGCAGATTCTAAGAATCGGTGTGTCCACAGCTGGGAGAATGTGAAACCAGGCAGTCTGATCTCAGAGGCTCTTAACTGCTCTCAGTGCATTATCTTTGTGGAGGAGGACTTTGGTCTAGGGACCTTCCAGGCTGATGTCATATTAGACCAAGAAGGCAAAGACCTTCTTTCCTCCTTATTGTCCTGTAAACTGCAATGAGCCTAGTCCTGGTTAACAGCTGTCAGCCTGTTTTCAGGGTCTTCCTGTAACAGAGACTGCTCAGGGAAAACCAAAAGGCTTAAGCTAATAGCCTCATTGCCTTGTGTTTACAACAGTATCATAGAGCTATCTAATAGTTAAACTTTATACAGCGCTTCCCTCCTAGCTCAAGCCATTGAGTAACAGCAGATCTTTCATTAAACATAAAGAGAACTAAAAAACAGAGATGTGCCATGGAAATCAGGGATGAAATGATGCTAGGGATTCGTTGATCACCTATTTCAAGATCAGATGAGTCTGTCTTGGCTTCCCCTTTTGCTTGCCTGATCTGATCTTTAGTATCTAGAGCTAGGGAAAGGAAACTACCTGTGGTTTAGGAAAATCTTTTATGGTTAGTTTCCGGGAAGGGAAATTCAAATGAAGAAATGTTTAGCCAACTGAGGTTGTATCTGTTTGTACAACCGCAATTTGTGGATAATAAAAATAAGTGCCTTAGAACCCAGGCGCCTTAGAGAGGTTAAGCGCAGTTCTGCTCCCTTCGAGCTGGGGGGCCTTGTGCGAGCTGTGGAATCGAGACCGAGTTTCTTCATCTGTAACATGAGAGTTAACCTGTCACCCCTCTCCTGACATTCTCCTCTTCCTCCCCTGGTCTTTCAAAGGCTCAGAGTTGCCTTGTAAGCTCTGTCTCTTTTCAGCACGCTCACTCAGGGTGATTTCACCCTGGCGAAAGTCTCTGTATGCATTTTCATCTTTTCTCTCTTCCACAGGTCTCTTTCCTCAGCCACAGGCCTCAGCTCTGACCGCATCTGGAGCATCCCCTTTGGATACCTCAGGCTTGAATGTCCCAAGCCCAACTGCTCATTATCTGTCTCGCAGCCATCTCTGATGAACGGTCTGCTCTGCTTCCCTGCATCCCCACCCAGTCGTTCAAGTCAAAGTCTGGCTATCATCGGTCTTCGCTTTACCCAGCCCATCCAATGAATGGCCAGCTCCTAAACATGGGTTGGGCCATCAGCTGCCATCTGTCTAGAGTTCCTAAAACCTTCACCACTCAGCCCTGTCTCCTCCATCATTTCTTTCAGCGACTGCCATTGCCCTCAGGATGAAGCACGGCATGGATTACAAAGCCCCTCAGGAGTGGGCCCACGCCTGTGTCTCCAGCTGCTGCCTCAGCTTGCACTCCATTTCAGCCGTTCTTGAAATCTCTCAGTTCCTCTAATCGTGCTAAACACCTCTGTTTCTCTGAGCTTTAGCATGTTCTACAGAATGCTGCCATCCCATTCCATCCCACGCCACACCCTTCCTTTGACTCAGTAGCTCTCACTACTCTGTCATTTCTCGCTGAGTATCATGTTCTCCAGAAAGCTGCCTTTGACTTCCACCCAGCTCTCCTGTAGGCACCTTCCAGCTTGATCAGAAAACTGTGTTTCCCCCTCGCAGAACCTGTACACTGCATACCAAGCCTCTTTCCCCGTTTCTGAATCCCTGTTCTTAGTCATGTGGAGGGGGATATCAGAATCACTCAGGATATTTTGTCAACCTCTACTCAAAACCTCATCTACCCCTCAACACGCCGTGAGTCTGTCTTGGCCTAAAAACCACCACACAGTGATCCTGTGCTATGTCCCTCAGAGGTGCTATGGTAGGGACGTGCTGGGTACCATTGCACCAGACTGACAACTGCATGAGTAAAGGGACTGTACCCATCCTGCTTACTGCCATTTCCCTGGTGCCAGGCACAGAGTGAGGCTCATCGCTGGAGATAGGAGAAACTCGTATGACTGATTTGGGACATGAGGACAACGTGTGCATATGGAGTCCCCAGGACATGATAAGCAGCGGGCACATCTGGATTCTTTCCTTCCACTTGCTAAGGTAGAGAATTTGATGCTTTGTGCCTGTCAATCTCTGTCACCCTTCATTCCCCAAGTGAGAAACAGTGGAAGACATTTAGAGTAGGCGCCAAGTCATGCTGTATCAATACAGTTGGTTTTTGTTTTGCTTGATAGCTTGTGAAACCTGGGCCTGATATCTCATCAACAATCTGTTGTTAGTAAACAAACTGCTTCACATTTATTGCTTCTCTGATGGAGTTTAGTTTTCTTTTTTTTTTTAGAGAACTATGCTTCCCCGTCCGCTTCTATGAGGGAAGCTGTCTTCAGGAATGGCTTTTTATTTATCATGTCTTTGAGGAAGGGGGGCCGAAACTCAGGAAGGTTGAAGCTAGGGTTTCAACGGTGGAACTGGGAAGGTAGTGAGAGCTATGGCCCTGCTCTGAGTTTGGGAAGGGCGGCACCGGCATGTGGGCAACTGTAAGGCACTGCTGGCCCTGGACGGTCCTACCCAGAAGAAAACAAGATATAGCTAGATCTGGAATCAGGTTTGGATTTAGAAATCAACTGTGCGACCCTTAGGAGCAGGGTCTTTCTGGTCCTTTCTTGGCTTCCTGCTTGGTAAAGTGGCATCCCATTTGTCCTAGGTACCTACAGTACACTCTATTGATTAGCATACCAACATTTTGTAAGATATAAAGTATTACATAGACATAGGATTTTATTAATATACAATATAATTATAAATCCAGAGAACTGAGTTATGGATTAGAAGTCAACACACATTCTTAGTAATCATATGGCTAGATACTAAGACACAAAGATGAATGAAGAAGAAAAGGAGATTTATATCCATCAATCTTGGCAATTCCTGTCCTAAGTGCACTGCATTTATTATCTCTTTTTTGAGGGGGTGCCGGGAATCAAACTCAGGACCTTGCACTTGCCAGGCAGGCATTTGTGCCACTGAGCTATATCCCTGGCCTCCTGTTATCTCTTTTAATACTCCCAAAGCTCTCTCCCTGAGAGGCTTATATTTAGCCAAGTGACATAGGCATCTGTTAAACATCAGGTAAAGCAATGATGATAACAACCAAAAGTGTCAAATGAGAACACCAATAAGGAGAGAGCTGATGTTCTGTCTCTTGGTGGTGAGGGCAAGTGAGGGAGAGAGAAAATGATGTGGCTACTTGAGCCTGGAAGAATAAAGCAGGGTCTGCAGACCCATCAAGGGGAAGGAGTGTCAAGAGGAGGAAACAGCACTGCCAAAGGCAAGCAGACAGGGACAGGCGGTGAGGGGCAGTCAGGGGTGCGTTGTGCGCGGCAGGAGGGTGGCAGGATGTGGAGGGAAGGGTGATGGACAACTGGGGCTCATGGCGGAACACTTGAGATCTTGATGAGAAGTGGAGATTTCATTGTACAGTGCTGAGCCAAGCTCTCTGCACATTTTATTTT